AGTAAGTTTAGGTAGACTTATTCCTGAAATAAACAGATTCCTCTCTTTCTCTCTCTCTCTGTATATATATATATATATATATATTACACTCGCAACATTTTTAGAAGGATAAATAAGGATAACCAACCAAAAAATGGAATAAATGCATACTTTTAGTTAATTTTAACTCCAAATTTTATTATGTGTAAATTTATCTATATTTTGTTTTCGCGCATCTACGGTTGAACATTTAATATATACTTTATTCTTTAACTAATATCTTTGAACTACTCATAAAGAACCATTTTTCTATATTTATGAACTTTTCCTTCACAAGTTTCTTACTAATGTTTATTTTCTTTATGATATAAAACAGGTACTAAACTACATCATGTTTAATTTATTCGGTTTTTATCATCTTATTTAATTGAAAAATTGACTCTTGTGTTTAATATTCATTAAAAAAAATAACATTTAAGGTTATTGTTGAATCAGATTATATATCACAACGTATTGAATATTAAATCTTAAGAAATACTCAAATCAAAAAAGTGTTATAGAATTGAATGAATTATACTTATTAGGGAAATTTATTATTAATTGTCACCCTTAATGAGGGAAATAGCGTGTGCAGAATAACAACCTTTCTGTGACCCAAATTTGAGGAGATTGTAATCTTTCAAAGATGGTCATAAGCTCAGCATAAGTAATTCTCTCATAAATCATAATGATCAACATGTCTTGCAAAAGTAAATATCAAAAACCAAAACTATTTCTAATGATTCCTCATAACCAACTTGGCTTGAAGCTCCCAAGACACCTCCATCAATATTGCGTACGTGATTAATGTCATGGATGAGTGAACAAACCAAGTAACAACACGTAAAGGAACGAATTATTCTTGTTGGAATACCATGTTACATCTTTATTTTCCAAATCCTCCATATTGCTTCCAAGAACAAAGTATCGTCACTACTATACAATTTTGCAATTGTTGAAGCTGATCTAATTTTGAACATCAGGCAGGTGAAAAAGAAAATTAAATGAGTCAATGCGGGGGAGATTCCATACATGTTGGAGCCCAATGTGGACAATGGACCGTCCCAAAATGTTGAAAATACAACAGGGTTAAACACCGAGAAAATCAAGTTGCTGCTTTATTTGCCAAATATAATTCTGTAATGCATTCATCTATTCTTATTGTAACCAAATTTCATTCTAAATGTTCTAAGAGGAGACCTTGCTGGTATTGCATTTTATTGAGGCTTCTAACCTCTAGTTTTCATCAAAAAGAAAATATCAAGAAAATCCTCATAGTTGGTCATATGAGCAAATCATATAAGTAAAACTCGACACAACATCTTAACTTAAAGTAAAAAAAGATATCAGGTTTATGGGTCTTTCTTATTTATATGTTAACCAAAATACCTAATTTTATTCAATATGAGACTTACATTTACACTTGCATACAAATGATCTTTCCCTCAATGTGAATCTCTTTCACATGGTATGTTCTTTCTCGAGCGGAAGTCTTTTTTCATCCATAAGTATTCAATTGCCTAAAGATTAGTAATCGCTACCATGTAACATTCTCCTTTCCAAATTAAAATAGTAAAAATGATATGAGTATTTGATTTTAATTGGCTTACATTAATTTATTTAATCTGAGTTTTATTTAAATAAATAAATAGAAAGGTGATTTTAGAAATTAAAATAAATAAATAGGCTAAGTGAATTTGGTTTAGGTGATGGGTTTTAGACTTTAGAAGCCCAACCTAGTCACTTAATCTGTTATGGTCAAGGTGAGTTGTTAAAATAATAAGCATGTGTTTCTTTTTCCCTTCCTAGTGCTTGAGAGCTTGCTACAAAAGAGGCATTAATCAATAGGGTCTAAAGATAGGATCATGGAGTAGTAGACCACACCCCTTGCAAATGAGACTACACTATTGAACTAAGGGGGAGTGAGAAAATTGAGGACCAACTAAGCTTTCAAGAGTTGAAACAAAGGCTAACTATTTTGCTTATATTGGTGTTGTCTAATCCTAATGAGCCATTTGAGGTTTAATATGATGTCTCGTATTAGGGATTGAGTTGTGCATTGATACAAAACAAGAAAGTGGTGGCATATGTTTTAAGGAAGTTGAATACTCATGAGAGAAATTATCTGACTCACGACTTAGAGTTGACGACTATGGTGTTTGCTGTAAAAATATGGAGACATTATCTTTATGGAGCTACATTTGATTAGTTTTTGTGACTACAAGATTTTGCAGTATATGAGGCGAATAGAATTCTTGAAAGAGTATGATTTTCAATTGATATATCATCTTGAAAAGGCCAATGCAATGACTAATGCTTTGAGTAGAAAGTTTATTCATGTCTTTTTTAATGATCAAGGAATTGGAGTTACTGAAGAAGCTGAAACATTTGAACTTATGTGTTGAGATTTCTTCAGATCACATTAGTTGAGTTATGACTACTGTGACTAATGAGTTCTTAGAGATGGTAGAAGAAAAGTAATTATAAGACATTGTTCAATGTAGAATAAGATAATTGTTAGATACTAGAAAGTTTGTTGACTTTAGTACCAAGACTGATTGTATCTTGAGATACAAAAGTAGATTTTGTATCCTTCATGATTCAAAGTTGAAGAAGATGGTTCTAGATAAGGTCCATAAGAGCAAGCTTAATCCACATCTTGGCATATAGATCTAAAGAATATGTTTTGGTGATCTATTATGAAAATAGAAGTGCAAATTATGTGATAATCTGTCTAAATTTTTAGAAAGCAAAGGTGGAACATCAAAAGCCTAATGGTTTGCTACAAGTTATGGAGATCCTATAGTTGAAGTGAGATAACATCATTATGGACTTAATGGTGGGTTTGACTATATCAGCTAGAGGTTGTGATGTTATTCGAGTGATTATTGAAAGGTTGACGAAGTTTTTCTATCTTTGGTAGAATTCACGTATAATAAAAGTTTTCATGTTAGTATTTTCATAACTCCTTTTGATGTTTTGTATGGTAAAAGATGTTAGATGCCATTGTATTGGCATAAGATGTTGAGAGCTAGTTGGTGAGACCTTAGTTGGATTTCCAAGCGAGTGAGAAAGTGAAGCTTTCATGAGAGGATAAAAACTACTCAGAGTATGCATAAGTCTTATGCTGATAAAAGAAGGAAATCCTTAGATTTTGATGAAAGTGACTATGTTTTCCTAAAGATGGCACCCACTAGTAAAGTGAGAAGGGAAATAAAGTTAAATAAATTAGTCTTTAAGTTTATTTGACCTTATTAGATCCTTTGTCGTGTAAGTTTAGTTTCATATCAAATAGCATTATTGCTATTTTTGCCTAGCCCACATGATGCGTTTCATGTTTCTCAATTGAGAATGTGTGTCTTTGATCCTCATTTGGCAGAGTCAAATATGGTTCAAGTTAAATAGAATTTGACTTATGATATAAAGATTGCAAGGTGGTGAATTAAAGGGTGAAGCGACTAGTAGACAAAATCCATTAGTTTGGTAAATGTGATATGGGATGATATCATGGGTGAGACCATGTGGGAGCTAGAGGATAAGATCATAGATTAATACACAAACCTCTTCACAAGTAAATAAATTTTTGGAGACAAAATTTTTTGTTATCGGGAAGAATTGTAAAACCTTGTTTTTCCTATATGTATGTTTGGTATGTTTACATTGCTTGTTGAGGGGAGGGGATAATGATGAGTCAATTATAGAATAAAGTTAGTCTTGAGTAAGCTAAGGTATAAATAGGAAAATGAAAATTGAAACCTAAGTTTTAGTTTAATAAAAGTTAAGAGATAAATTAGAGAGAAAGACTTTAAGAATCTAAAACTTCATCTTGACTCATAATCGTGCTATAAGTCCGAAATTTATCTAACTTGGGATTGAAGCTTCTTATAACTAAGGAAATATCATTAGAGCAAAGATCTATAGAGATTGAAGTTGAAGAAACATAAAGTAGGAGATTTGGGGTAACTTTCTTTCTCCTTTTAATTTTAGCTTCTAGGAAGCAAATTTAAGGTAAAAAAGGTTTGATCCTTATTTTTTTTTGTTGTTGTATATTTTGAATCCATTTAGAGCCAATTTAATGACTTGATATCGAGTTTTATTTTGATGTTATTGTCTTGTTAAGGTTTTTGGATTTTGGGTTATGCTCGAAGAAAAAATGTAATTATTATGAAATGTGGATACATGTAAAGTTTAAGAGAAGAATTGGTGTTGATCGATTGTTGATAAGTGTTGGATTGTTTTTTGGACCTTTGGAAAGCCTTGCATATTGATTATTATGGGCTTTCTTGCTTTTAGTTATTTTTTTTAATTGGAGTATTTTACAATTTTTTTAATAACTTTTTATCTTAATAATATATTATTTCAATTTACTAATAAAAAATATCTTTTTAATTTTTAAATTGAATTTAATATTATTTTTAAATAAATTATAGATAGTATTTATCTCTATATAAAATAGAAAAAATAGACACTTCACACATCTATTATTTTTAAAAAGTAAAAAATAAAAAATAAAAAAAATGATGAAATAAAAGTGTGTAATTAACTTTACAATAATAGAGTAATTGTGTATATTAGTTGAAAGGTTAAAAAAATTTAGAAAATGTATGCACTATAATAATGTATCATCTTAAATTGTCATTTTCTTGTTTTTGTTTACACCATTCACGTGTGTAATTAAACAATATTATTTTTAACTATTTTTTAAGATAATATTTCTAGAAATTTTTATTAACTTTATTTTTCTTTTAATTTATCACTCTATGTTTTATTTTTAAAATAAATTCTTATTTTTTTAAGAATCAATAATTAAATATAATTTTATATCATAATATAAAATATTTATCATAAAATTAAAATATAATTTTTATGAAAAAAAATATTTATTTATTAACTTTTTAAACTTTAATATAATTTTTATATGAAAAAATACTTTACATTACTCTATTTTGTCTTGACAAGAAATGAACCCTGTTCCCTAATGCGACGATGACAGATACAAATAAATGAATAACCCAATTTGAACTTGAGAACTTTCCCCATGGCATTCCGCGCACTTGCTCACTCCACCGCCACCGCCACCGCCTCATGCCGCCGCTCTATCGTATTCACACTCTCTTCCTCCTTTTCCTCCGCCTGCCGGAGGCGGACCCGCCCTCCGCCGCCGCCGCCGTCTCCGAAGAAGGTGCCATTCACGGTGTCGGTTCACGGGAAGACGTGGCAGGACCCGTATCGGTGGATGTCCAACACCGACGACCCGCACCTGTTGGAGCATCTCAACCGCGAAAACGACTACGCCGATGCTTTCATGGCTGACACACTCAAACTCCGTTCCGTGTTGTCTTCCGAGATGAAACCACGATTGCCTCCCACCGTTTCCACTCCCCCTGAGCGTTGGGGACCCTGGTTGGTTCCACATTTTTGCTTTTGTAAATTCTCCATGTGAAAAATGAAGAGCAATGCATCGTGTTATTCTATCAATTTCGAAATTTCTGAGATAGGCTAATTTATTCTATGGAATTATGGCAATGTCATTTTAGTCCATTAAGTTACTAATTACAAAGTGTTTTGTATGGTAAATTGATGAGTAAACACCTAGTTTGATACTTGGATTTGGAAGACATTGTGGTATTAGTCCAAAACTCAAAAAAATTGGGCGAGTAAAGTGATAAGATGGATATAAAATATATATATATATATATATATATATATATAGAGAGAGAGAGAGAGAGAGAGAGAGAGAGAGAGAGAGAGAGAGAGAGAGAGAGGAGGAATCCTTTTACTCTAGGAGTAAGTTTACCTAGACTTACTGTGCTCAATAACTCATGTTCTACATCAAATTTCAACGATCCAACCGTATAATTTAAAGTTCTTAATGCATAAATCAAATCAGCAAATTTTTATAAAATTTAAAAATTATTTGATACTTCGTTTCATTAATTCGAATCAATGTATAAAATGATTTTATGATTATTCGTCAATTTGAATTAATGAAATGAAGTATCAAATGATTTTCAAATTTTCTAAAAATTTGCAGATTTGATCTATGCATTAAGAACTTTAAATTGAAAGGTTTAATCGTTAAAATTTGATGTAGAACATAAGTTATTAAGCGGAGTAAGAACTACTATAAATGCAAATATAGAACTGTGGTTGGTGGAAAATGAGAAACTGATTGTAGAAATGTAGTATTTATTTCTCTTCACGTTAGGCTTTTTTGTGTTTAGTTGATTGCGTTTTCACCTTTTCTTCATCAGGCTGTATTATCAGTATATTCCAGAGGGAATGGAATATCCTATTTTGTGTAGGAGGCTCGAAACGGAGAGAACTGGTTGGCTGAATAATTTCTTTCTCCACTGTGGAATGAGAAGATCAAAAAGGGAGGAAATTTTACTTGACTGGAATGAACTTGCAGAGAAATATGGTATGTTTCTTTCTTCTAGCTTCACCATTTTCATTTTGTGTTTCCATTCCTTTTTCAAAATTGATGATAATAGTGGGGGAGAGAAGGCTCTGGAGTCTAAACTTCTGATTTTTCAAATGTTAATGGGAGCTGATATTAAAAGATGCATATCTGACAGAAACATGGCATCTTTACTCTGTCATATTTTAATGGAATTTGTTAAGTACCAGTTTACTGCATTGTTGTGGAAATGTATCATAATTAACCCAAACATAATGGAATTGACATTAGTTATTAGTCTTGTTTCTCTTAGATTTTAAAGGTCTGCAATTTGGATCTCCAGCCAGCCTTTGTGGGATAGTTTCTACTCTGATTGTTTAAATTCTGCTTGAAATTCACTTTTTCTCTCCTATTAGTGATTACTGACAATATAGTCAATATTACAGGGTATGTCAATGTTGGAACATGCAGAGTTTCCCCTGACCACAACTACCTTGCGTACACACTTGATATTTCTGGTGGAGAACGATTCATGCTCCAGGTAAAAGACCTAAGAAGTGGATTAATAGACCCTAAATCGGAAGTTGATGGTGCTGTTAGCTTGGCTTGGGCTCAAGATGCAAGTTCTCTGTTTTATACTCTATCAGATGAAAATCAGAGACCTTACAGGCAAAATCTTATAACTGGATATCCTTTTTGTCAGTTTTTTGGGGTTGGAAAAAGCAATGGGTTTTAGTTTAAGATGCTATCCTAACTGTCATACGATATTATGGCAGGGTTCTCTGCAGAAAACTTGGATATAATCATGTGGATGATCTCCCAGTATTTACTGAAAATGATTCCAGTTTTTGTGTGGACATAACTAGCACAAAAGACGGAAAATTCATAACTGTGAATTCAAACTCAAGAACTTCATCTGAGGAAGGAAATTATTTTTCTTATTTTATGAATACATAATGAGTTTATTCTTTTCTAGTGATATGTTGAACTTGATGCTGGTCACAGGTTTATGTTATAGATTCAGTCAATCCATCAAATGGTTTACAAAAAATATGTAATCGTACTTCTGGTGTACAGTACTTTGTGGAACATCACTCTGGTTTATTTTATATTCTTACAAATGCTCCTATTCCTGATGCCCAATGGTCTGGTCAAGGTTATTATCTGGTCAGATGTCGAGTTGAAGATATAGAGTCAGCTAAATTGCAGGTTTTGTGATTAGTTTCATACATCTTGATTTTGAGTTATTGATTATCTGAGTTTGCATGTGTGAATGCTATTTCTTCGCTAACTCTTCTTTGTTATGCTTATATTGCACTCAGAATATCATCCTTCCTGATATAGATATGAGCCTATGTGATATGGACATTTTTAATGGATATCTGGTTCTTTTCTTCACTAAGAAAGGTCTTCCTCTGCTATGCTCATTGAACTTTCCAATGCAAATTGATTTCAAGGTATACGTATTGCTATTTTATTAAAATTTGTTGTTTACCACTGAATTGAAAAAGGCTTATGAGTTATGTCATCATATTTTCTTCTAGTTTGCATCAGCGGCCTCTAAACCATTGGATCCTGATGAATATGACCCGTGATTTGTGAACTACTGAAAAGACAAATGACACTCCAATATGATAACAAAAGTTTGTCACTGCATTTCCTTTCCTAATTTCTTTGTCCACAGACACTTCTTCCAGTGGATGTTCAACCAATACTAATGGGATGTTGTAATTTGATGAATATATATATATATATATATATATATATATGTTTAGAAGAGTATAATTGAAATGGCCATATAAACAAAATCTACATTGCTGTTTTGGTGTGCCTATACTTGTCTTACAAGTCGAGTCATTAGATCTTAAATTGTATTTTGTTGCAATGACAGATACACTACTGCACCATGAACATGTCAATAGTGGGTTTCAGTGCCTCTTATTTTCCCATTTCCAGAAGAGACCATAACATTATATGAATATGAATGTTCAACTCCACAGTAGTTGATGAACTTTGTTGGTTGTGATCTTTTTGCAGAGGTTATGAACTATTTAGATATTTCCTGCAGCTGGTAGTTTGCAATGACCTCTAGAATGTATTGGTGGTTATTTTCAGTATAAAGCTTCATTAATAGACTACGTGCATTAACATATATTTGACCTTGAATTGCTTTGTAGCATCAAGTATACATTCAAGACCTGAAACCATGGTACTTTCCTCTGCCATCAAATACATGCAGTGTCAGTCCTGGTTCAAATCACGACTTCTTCAATATGGTTTACCGTGTGGTGCTTTCATTGCCTGTGGTATGAATACTAATAACTAGGAAAGCAATGCACATTTGTAGAGTCAGTGATGATTTTTTGAAATTCATCTTATCATTAATATGAAAGTTCTTGTAGATATTTTATAATTAATAGTCTATTAATATTGAACTTTGTGGGTGTTCTGAGGATGGCGTTGAATACATATCAGTATTCACATTTGTGATTCTTCTAAACTTTATCAATATATATATTTGGATGTCTGTTTATTACTTTACTTTGCATAATTCACTATGCTCCATTTTAGAGATATGATGTGAGATTTTGATTTTGAATTATATACAAAGTTCCTTTTTCAATGTAATACTTAGTTTAGCCTGCTTTGTAATGTGTAAATGTATTATGTGACTGTTCTTCCAATTGCTAATATTATGCCAAATCACTTTTAAAATTGTTGTCCCTCAACATTTGCAGAAAAAGAGGAAAGTTTTCTTTGACTTTTTAAATTTCTTTTTATTTATTTTTATGAAGAATTTATTTTATATATATATATATATATATTTTTTTTTTTTTTTCTCTGTTGGTGTTAAAGTTTTTTACCTTTACCCTTGGTCTTTTTCAATAAACATGTAGTATGGGATGTGATAACATGATTCAGTTTCCATCACGTGAATTTAAACATAAAAATGAAGATCATATAACTAAGTTTCCTTGCAGTATTCTATATGCAAATTAGTTTCTCCTTTAGTGATATGTTAATGTTAATATATTAAAGAACAAGACTTCTCTCGGATGCTGAAACTTATTTGCAAGGACAGCAAGAAAGTGGAGGAACTTATTGCAATTGCATTGTTGAATACCTGCCCTTCCATACTTTTTCACTGTAATCTGTATAATGTAATAGTAATTTCATTAGTTTGTCATATGTTGCTTCATTAAATTATGTACAGAATTGGAAAGAAAGATTTGGTTGTAATTTTCACATGTCAATTCCACATCTATACATCCTGTTTTGTGACTATAGTTCGGCTTCTGATATTGTAGTTTATGGCCTCATTAATTGAATCAATTGTTGTATATTGCAACATCTCAAATCTACTCAATGAGCATACATAATTACTAATAGCAATTAAAATTCATTAAAAGTGCATTGGTACCTTGAATGTTATTATTTAATGTTTATGATATTGTTGAAGTATAATATCTGCTTTACCTTTGAAACTTCTTTATTAAACTACTTCCCTTTTGTGGGTTTTGGGGAGTGAACAGATGCCGGATTTAATTGTTGACTATAACATGTCAAGACATACATATTCAATTGTGCATCAAGAGGAAGTGAACTGTGAATCTGTTGGTCGGTCATGCATCCCAACTTTTGAGCTAAATTATGATAAGAGTAATATTCTAGAGGCATGTAGTGATAAGAAAGAGTGGGCTGCGAGT